GCAAGCCAGTTCCCCTGCGGGGTGGGGGCGGGGGGCTGTTTTTCTAGGCCGGGTCCCGAGACGCCCATGCAGGGAGGTGTACTCTGTGCTTTGCTTGGGGCCTCGTGTTAGGTGTACCTCCCTCCGTAGCTCAGAACAGGGAGGGCCCTGTGGAAGGCAGAAGTGATAGTATATTCTTTAGGGACATACATAAAAAGCACCATTGCCAAACTGCCCCCCTCCCCACGCGCGTTCTGGGACCAGTATGGTGGAAGGAATAGCTGAAAAGGACAGAGGTGGCCAAGGTGGCCAGGGACTCTCACATAGTATTAATGTCCTCCTGCCCCACCCCGGCCCCCGCCCCGCAGGCTTCTGAGAACACTGGGAAGGAGAGCCTACTTTTATCTACTTTTATGTTCCTGTCCAGATGCCCAAATATCCTGGTTCCCATGAGAGAAAAGACCCCTTCACCCTGCCCCAGGCGCCAGGCTGCCAGCCCATCTGCTGGGAGAAAGGAGGGGCGCCTTTCCCAGGGGGATCCCGGAGAAACGACTACAACAGTAGTCCCAGGGAGGTCTACACTCGCTAGGCACTTCGCTTCACGCGGGAAAGCCGCAGGGTGGAGCAGAGCCCAGAGGCGGGCAGGGGTGAGGGTCCCAGCTTGCAGAGCAGGGCGGGGTCTTCTGGCCAGGAGGTGTCCAAGGCAAGCTGAGCAGCTCCTCCGTGCCCACCCGCTGCCCCCTCCCCGGGCCCAGTCTCACCGGCTCGGAGGCGCCAGGGCCCCCCCCAGGGCCGGGGCGGGCTGGGGAAGGTAATGTAATTCCGACCCAGCTAACCCGATTATGGCGGCCTGCACCGGGCAGGGTGGCGGCGGGGGCGTGTCTTCGGCTTAGGGGCCCGCCCGGCAGGGGTCCCATCCAAGGGAGGGACACGGAGGTCACATACTCTCAGTTCCTGGGTCCGCGCCCAGAGGTCACAAGGTCACTGAGCCGCTTCATTCTTCCCCCACTCTCCTTGGCTGGCACGCTCCAGGCGCGTTTTCTGGGGCTTGGGTGGGGTGAAGTGTCTGTAGGATGCGGAGCGGAGAGCCTCCCACGGCCTCAGCGAGTCCCCAATGTCGCCCTTTCGCCTTAGAGAAGGGAGGAGAATGTGAAAGGATAGCTTTCCGAGATGCAAAATAGAGGAGTGGAATCCTGCGGTGGAGGCCCAGGTTGGTCCGTTTGAGACCCGGGTCCGATTTACAGCAATTTCAGAAAATCGAAATTCTATGAAACAGGGCACCAATTCCTGGCCGGTCAGGACCAGGGTGGGAAGTGCTACAGGAAAAGCCAGGAGGTGTGCCACGACCCCGAGCTCAGAGGTTCGTTCCCTGCCCGAGTCCACCGAATGCGCCCTGTCACCGTCTGCTTCCCACACCTGGCCTCTTCCTAGGACTCCAGGACGCGGATCGCCGTCCCCCAGCCGCTTCTTACACAGCCAGGAAGCCACAACGAGATTTGGTCTCAGAGGGCATTTGGGCAGTGGCCACAACGAATCCAGGAGCTGGCTAGCGGCACCCATCGGGAGGCGAAGAGTGGGGGCTGGGGACAGAAGCACCAGCCGAGGAACCCGCGAGGTTGAGGCAGCCCGAAGGCGGAGGCCGGCGAGGATGCGGGCGCGCAAGCATCCCGGCTGAGTCAGCGGCCCCTCCCGCGCCCCGCGCCTTCCTGACACCCGCGCCCTCCTCTGCCTGCGCCTGGCACATCCAGCCATCCCTTTCCCTTTAACGGCAGGGCCCCGCCCCTGCCCTCCCTCAGCCCCCTCTGCCCACCGGAGGCCGATCTGTCAGTCACTGCCCCTGCCTGATCTGGCCACCCGTCTCCACACCGGACTCGGGCAGTGGCCTGGGCAGCCTAGCGTCCACCCGCGCTCCCGGGATCCCCGCCGGCCACGCTCCTCCGGGATGCGAGTCCCTGCGCGGACGCCCGGGAGGGGCGGGCACGCGCGCGGCTGCGCCCGGTGCACAGGGATGCTGCTGTCCCGGGGGTCCCGTCGCCCGGCCGTGGCCAGCCCCGCGGGCCCCTGAAGCGGCTGCCCGGAGCGCGCCGCCGCGGGGCTTCCGCAGCCATCAGAGACACCCTTCCCAGCCATCCAGCCTCCAGGTCCTCTCCGGCTTGGACCCATGGAGCCGGCGGTGTTGGCTCCGCACCACCTGCCGCACCACGAACCCATCAGCTTCGGCATCGATCAGATCCTGAGCGGCCCCGAACCCCCGGGGGGCGGTCTGGGCCAGGGTCAGGCGGGCCAGAGCCACGGGGAGAGTGCGGCGTTCTCGGGTGGATTCCACGGAGCCTCGGGCTACGCTCCAACCGGCTCGTTAGCCCCGTTGCCCAGAGGCTCCGGAGTGGGCCCGGGCGGCGTGATCCGCGTGCCTGCGCACCGCCCGCTGCCGGTGCCGCCGCCCTCGGGTACGGCCCCGGCAGTGCCCGGACCCTCGGGTTTGGGCGGCGCCGGGGGCCTAGCCGGACTCACCTTCCCCTGGATGGACAGCGGCCGCCGCTTTGCGAAGGACAGGCTCACGGGTGAGATTGCCCAACCCCTCGGCGTCCGGTGTTCTTCTTCCCTCTTAGACGTAGACCCCGTAGACCCCGTTTCTTTGCCTCTTAGCTTTCTGCTCCAACTCCATTCCCCCTTTCTCCCTCCCCTCTGCTCATCCCTGTGGACCCTCCGCGACCCCACATTTCTTGGTCTCACAGAGGAGAGGCAGTAAGGAGAGAGCTGCTGTCGTCGGGTGCATGCGCCCTTCCTCTGCAGCCCTACGCATGGTGCCTATCTCGAGGAGGGGCAGGGTGAAGTTTGGGGGGGACCGCGTTCTTCCTAGGCCCCTTTTTGAACGAGGAGGCCTCAGTGGATGCGGGCCGGGTAAGGACTAGGGGCTCTCTTCTCAGTGTCACCTCGGACCACCCCCAAACTTTGCCCTGATCTTCCACCCCGTAGCTGCGCTCTCGCCCTTCTCTGGGACACGTCGCATAGGCCACCCCTACCAAAACCGGACCCCCCCGAAGCGCAAGAAGCCGCGCACCTCCTTTTCCCGCTCGCAGGTGCTGGAGTTGGAGCGCCGCTTCCTACGCCAGAAGTACCTGGCCTCGGCAGAGAGGGCGGCGCTGGCCAAGGCCCTGCGCATGACGGACGCGCAGGTCAAGACCTGGTTCCAGAACCGACGCACCAAGTGGCGGTGAGGCGCGGGGCGCGGGCGGGCCGAGTGGCTGGGAAGGGCCGGGCCGTCCGCTGATCCCGGCTCTCCGCCCGCCCAGGCGCCAGACGGCGGAGGAGCGCGAGGCGGAGCGGCACCGCGCGGGCCGTCTGCTGCTGCACCTGCAGCAGGACGCGCTGCCCCGGCCGCTGCGGCCACCGCTGCCCCCGGACCCGCTCTGCCTGCACAACTCTTCGCTCTTCGCGCTGCAGAATCTGCAGCCCTGGGCCGAGGACAACAAGGTGGCTTCGGTGTCCGGGCTCGCCTCGGTGGTGTGAGCGACCCCTACCCGAGGAGCACCACTGTGGCCGTGTGCGGTGCCACCAGTGGAGCTGAAAGCCTGCGATTGTCTTCCGAGGCTCCTCGGCCACTAGCGGCCCCTGGCCCGCAGTTTGACTCTGCCCTTCACGGCGTTTTCGGACCCGTTGGAACCTGGGTCGAGAGGGCAACCTGCAGGACATAGTGAATGGGGCAAGGACGCAGTAAGGCACTGGCGATTCTGCCCAGAGTGAGCTCAGAGCTCAGGTCTCACTGATAAGGGGCCACTGAGCTAGCGTGAAGCTATCAAGGACTTCGGGGTAATGCAAGAGGTGTTGGTACTCGAGAATGTTGACTGTGACAGGGACCGGATTGTCCACTTCATCCCCTCAACGGTAAAACAATCGCTAAGGATTCTCTCTTGACTCGGTCTCACGTTGCCATGTATAACCTGCGGACCAGCCGCCCCCCTCTTGAAAGTCACAATGCACCTATGCTGTAGGTAAGGTAGATATTGAAATACTCAGAGGGTAAAATCTAGGGAGAGAATCAGGCTCCAGTGCCATACAGGGCAGAGAACCAAGAGGAGGAGCCTGTGGACAGTTCATGGGCCCAGTGTTAGAGTGAGCAAGATGCTTTGGGACTGGCAATCCTAAGAATCCAAGACTGGAGATGTGGAGGCCAGGAAGTCAGTAGTGCTGCGCACCAGGGAGGGGATCTGGAGAGAAAAAATTGCAGATTCCTGCCTTTGGGGGAGCTCGCTGACAACACATGTGTGGAGGGAGACGGATGGAATGGGGAGGCCAAGATCTCTAGGGGAGGGAACTCTGGGGAGTTCCACGGATTAAGCCTTTCTTTCCACCATATTCCACAAATACATTTACAATGTGCAGGATACTGGTGGATTCAGAAATTAATAGACTAAGGGCAGAGGGAAGGAGTACCCAGACAGACAGAAAGACACATGACACCTTTTAGTTAGAAAGACTCTAGGAGATGGCTTAGCAGGTTAAGGCACTTGCAGCTAACCCTGATGATCTGTTTGAGTCCTAGGACCTACTTGGAGGAAGGAGTGAACCCATTTCTACAAATTGTCCTCTCCCCAAAACATGTGTTATGGCATGCTTGTACATGCACATGCGTGTATACACACACACACACACACACACACACACACACACACTAAATGTCATGAAAAGTCAGAAAGACCAGACTGTAGGTGAGTCAGAGGCTACAGTAGGCTTTTTGATAGTTGCGCTGGAGGATAGTTGCAAAGCTTTCTGGTTAAAAGGAAGTACTTTGTCTCATTCCAGTGTTCCCAGCTTGTTTCTGGCAGAGGCTGGAGCACTGTGACAAGGACAGAGCCCTGTGGTAGCCAGAACACTCATGTTCTGTGCTAGTGACTGCCGCTATGGCAGGCAGGCGGGCGGGCGGGCAGGCGGCACAAAGGCATGGTCTGAGACGGGAGGAGGAGAGGAAGTCAGCCTCACTCATGGATATTGTATGTGATTCCGAAGAACCAAAGTCAAACTTGGCATCACAGGAAAATCTTTTATAGTCTCAAGGACAGTGCAAGGCTGTGTAGGGCAACAGGGGTGGAGTGAGCTCCCATCGGCAAGGAGCGAGAAAGGACTACTTCCTTCTGGACTGTGGCTCCTGTGCCTCCTCCCCTCCCACCGTTTCTTGGCTTTTGGGTACTGGGAATATATTTGACCCTGCACTTTGGATTTCTAAGACTGGCCGACTGCCCTATGCGGTGAGGTTGGCTCCATTCCTTAGGCAGCTCACTGCAGAACACAGCCATCCCCATACTCCCGGGGAGAGGAAGATTCCGTTTCTGCTGATGGCTCTGAGGCTGCTTCTCTCAGCTGGTTCAGGAAGTCTCTGCTCTCACTGGCGGGCAAGTTACTCAGGAAGTATGGAGGGGCTAGATCCACCAGCCTGTTAGAGAAAGTCAGAACGGGATTATCTGTTCCCCCCTCTGCCCCCCTCACAAACCCTCTTCTTAAGTCCCACTCACTCCCCAGCCTTAGCTTTGGTTCCTGTCCCTGGGAGAGAAAGGGTATTAGGAGTGAGGTCAGGAAACTCACATCTGAGGCTGAATCTCAGAGACGATGTACAGGCAGTTGTCTTTGGATATGGAGAAGCTGTGGTACAGAACCCAGGCAGGTGGTTGAGCTGGAGCTCTGCGGCTTCGGTAACAGCAGCATGAAGACAGCTGGGCTACATGTTTATGAGTGAGAAGCAGGTAATTTCCACTGCCATCTATGTCTTGGGCCACCTCATTGAAACACAAATACATGGATGGAATAAGTAACAGAGCATAGTAGAAAAAGAAAATAAAGGCGGGCCAACACTGGGTGTGGTGGCACACACCTGTAATCCCAGCATTAGGGGGGCAGAGGCAGAGGGAGCAGGCATTTGAGGCCAGCTTGGTCTACAAAGTGAATTCTAGGATAGCCAGGGCTACAGAGAAAACCCTGTCTCAAAACAAAATAAAAACAAACAGAAACCCCAACACCCCCCCCCAAAAAGGAAGAAGAGAAAAGACGGGAGGGCGAAAGGATTAAGAGTATTGTAAAGCCTAAAAGTCAATCTTCAGCTGTGGCCTGCTCCTTGCTTTAATCATATGGCCTTTGTCATGGCCCCTTGTCCTCAAACCCTCAGACTCCTGGCTCTAAGACATTGTATGTGTTTGTGTGTGTTCACGGAAGTATATGTGTGTTGATCTTCAGGTGTCAATCTTGGGTGTCATCCCTTAGGTGCCATCTGTCCTTTTTTGGGGGGCAGACCTGGAACATGCTAATAGGCTACGGTGGCTGCTAGACAGCTCCAGGGGCCCAGGTGTCTCTGCCTCCCCAGTGCCAGAGTGACAGGTGAGTCCATAGTTCTGGGACCAAAGTCTGCCCTTGAGATTGAAGCAAGGCGCTACCTACTCTTCCCCTAAGCCCCCTTTTGTTTTTTTTCCCCTAAAATTAAAACAATAACTATTTTAATTTATGTATAGGAGTGTTTTGCCTGCATGTATATATGCACACCACATGCCTACTTTTGAAGGTCAGCAAAGTGTCGACTTCTCTGGAATTGGAATTAAGGATGATTGTAAGCCACCATGTGGGTCCTAGGATCTGAACCTGGGTTCCCTGGGACCTCTGAGAGAGCAATAAGTGCCCTCCCCCCCTTTTGGAGACAGAATCTCACTACATAGCTGTCCTAGAACTTACTATGTAGATCAGACTGGCCTCAAACTTAGAGGGGTTGGCCTGGCTGGCCTCTGGAGTGCTGGGATTAAAGATGTGTACCACCACCCCAGGCAGAATGCCTTTGCATTGTATCCTGCTCGGCCCCCTCTCCAACCTTGAGGAAGAATCCCGACAGCAGTGCTTTCTGAAGGTCTCTGCGATTCTGCTCAGAACCGAATGCTGGCTGGGACACGGGAAGCTCAATCTGTTGCATGAGTTCCATGAGTTCCGCTCGGAGTTTACGGGCTTGGCACAGTGCTGCCCAGTTTAGACCCCGAGCCTGACACCAAACCTCATCTGCTCCACCTGGGAAAAGAAACAGCTATAATTGAGACTGGCACAAAGAATGCCCCCAGGCCAGGGGCCTGCCTCTTCCTGCACACAGAGGTCTGTCTGCTGATTGGGTATTTCCTGGGAGTTTCTGAGGGTGCAGAGTGAGCCACTTACTTTGTACAAAGGCTTCATAAATCTGGATCAGAGAGCTGTGATCACCGTCTGCATGTTCTAGGGCCCTACGCAAGGCAGCTTCTTCTGCACACAATGGAGGACGGGTAAACCCAGGAGCAGCTGGAGGCAGGAGACAGGAAGGTGGTTTGGAAGGAATCAGGAAGGACAGTAGCACAGATAGAATACTGAAAAAGTAGTAGTAATCCTCTGGGAGCCTAATTCAAAAGGCAATAGATTCTGGGTGCTCTGCATTTCATTATACTTTGGAGACAAATGCAGCCAGCCCTCCACAGTCACGGCTCTGCATCTGTGGATTCAACCAACTGCCGACTGAAAGTCTTCAGAAGAAAAGGCATCTACAGAGAGCATGCAGATTACCCTCTGCTGTTATTTCTCAAGCAATACAGGGTACCGTTTACATAATGTTTACACACACTGCAGTAATCTGGAGGTTTTGGAAAGTGTGTAGGAGAGTATGCACAGGTTATGTTCAGGTACTACTGCATTTTATCCTGAGACACTGAAGCCCCAGTGGATTAGGGGATCCACAGAGAGTCCTGGAACCCATCTCCCACAGACACTGATGGCTGGAAGTGAAAGTTTTCGCCTTTAAGGAGATTAAAATCTGATAGGAGAAAGGCTGGGCAGATGACTCAGTCAATGGGTACTTGCTGTACGAGAATGAAGACTTGAATTTGAGTCCCCACCACCCACATAAAACAAACAAGCCAACAGCACTTCCAGCTATGCCTGCAACCCCGGAACCTGAGAGGCAGAGACAGGCAGACCCTGGGAGCTTGCTGTCCAGCTCTTTCCTCTACCCCTGGCATGAAGCACACTGACACCTGCACTCCGCCCCCAAGGCTGTAGGACAGCCCAGCAAGGAAGTGGATAAGGAAGAAAAGCAAGTGGGTCTGGTGTTCCGGAAGCGAAGGGAAGGTGAGCTGACCCAGGCTTCGGGGTGGAAACCAGGGTGAAGTGGGAGAAAAGTGTGAGCTCCTTGGGTCAGCGTCACAAGTATGAATGGGGAAGGGACACTGGGGCCATCTGAGGCTGGGGGAACAGCATGGCACAGAGGTTAATGGTATGGCTCATCTGGAGCACTGGAAGCCATGTGGCTTGGGTGGGACGGGTGACACGGCAGACTAGCAAGGGAAGCTGGAGTGGTCTGTGTGTACAGTCAGGGTCAGAGTGGAGTGGTCTGTGTGTACAGTCAGGGTAAGAGGCTGATTGTGATACAAAAGAGTTTGCATCGTCTGGAAGAGTGGTGAAGAGCAATGTTAAAGCGTGAAAGTAATTGTGGCACATGCCTGTAGTCCTGCTACCTGGGAGGCTGTGGCAGGCGGATTGGTGCAAGTTTGAAACTAGCTTGGGATATACAGTGGATTTCAGGCCAGCCTGGGCTCTGGAGTAAACCCATCTTAAAAAATAAAATTGGGGCTGGAGAGGTCTTGAGTTCAGTTTCCAGCAATTACATGGTTGCTCACAACCATCTATAATGAGATCTGATGCCCTCTTCTGGTATGCAGGCAAATATGCATACAGAACATTGTATGCATAATAAATAAGAATCTTTTAAAAACACACACACACACACACACACACACACACACACACACACACAAAATCTCCCCTGTAAGCTCTGGCCTCCTGGGTTCGAACCCCAGAATCCACATATAGGTAGGAGGAAATAATCAATTCTACAATCCTGTCCTCTGACCACACATGAGCTATGGCGCACCCTTACCACCTCACATCATACATCATGCACAGTAATAATACTTTTTAAAAAGACAGGAACACAGGACTAGAGAGATTGTTTAGCAGTTAAGAGCATTGACCTAAGCCAGGCGTTGGTGGCGCACGCCTTTAATCCCAGCACTCGGGAGGCAGAGGCAGGCGGATCCCTGTGAGTTCGAGACCAGCCTGGTCTACCGAGCGAGTTCCAGGACAGCCTCCAAAGTCACAGAGAAACCCTGTCTCGAAAAACCAAAAAAAAAAAAAAAAAAAAAAAAGAGCATTGACCTAGGTTTGATTCTCAGCACTCACATGGTAGCACATAATCATCTAAACACCAGTTGGGGGAGGGAATCAGACGCCCTCTTATGGCACCTGCAGGTACTGCATGCTGTGATGTACAGACAGACCTGTAGGCATATACATAAAAATAAAATCTTGGGGGGGAATTCTTCAGGAGTTGGATGTCTCTCCTTCCTCTTTTTTCATTTCTCCCTGTATCTCTCTTTCTTCCTTACCTTTTTGTTGTTGTTGTTGTTTTTGGAGACAGAGTTTCTCTGTGTAGCTTTAGAGTCTGTCCTGGAACTTGCTCTGTAGACCAGGCTGCCTTGAATTCAAAGACCAGCCTGCCTCTGCCTCCCAAGTGCTGGGATTAAAGGTGTGTGCACCACCACTGCCTGACTTACCTCCCTTTTGCCTCTCCATCTTCCTAAGATCTAAAAGAATAGTGGGAAGGGGCAGGAATGGTAGCACAGCCCTTTTATCTTAGGACTTGGGAGGCTGAGGCAGGCAGATTTCTGAGAGTTAGACGCCAGCCTGCTCTACATAGTGAGACCCTGTTTGTTTGTTTTTTAAAGTGGTACTGGCAGAGAGATGCAAAGTACAGTTTGGGAATTTCAAGTACAGAGGCAGCACTGTGAACTGTGGGTGTGGATGGACTCGGTCAGAGTTCTGGGAATGAAAAGACACATAAGTCAAAGGCTAGAACCCTGAGGGGAATCTACAATGGAAAAGTAGAGGATGAGAATCCCAAGGAAGAGATGAAGACAGGATGACCAGAGGTGGGATGAAAACTACAGGATGCTGGGCATGGTGGTGAAACGTATAAGCTCAGCATCCAGGAGACTGAGCCAAAGATCTCACGTTCAAGGCCAACTTGGGCTACATAGCAAGACCCTGGGTCAAAAAGAAGGGGGATGGCTGGGGGGGGGTTCAGTGGTTAAGAGCACTTGTTACACAAGCATAAGACCTAAGTTCAAATTCCAGGTTGCTGCTTGATATAGCCAAGCACACCTGTAACTTTAAACTGCAGGGAGTGGAGATGGAGGAAACTGGGCTTGATGGATGCCAGCCTCGCTCCAGATTCAGTAAGAGACCCAATCTCAAGGGAGTAAGGTAGAGAGGGAAAGAGTGGGGCACCTGACATCCTCTGGCCTCAGAGCGTATGCACTTTCATGCACACGTATATGCACACACATAAGAGCGTATGCACTTTCATACACATGTACACACGTAAGAGTGTATGCACTTTCATACACACATATACGTACACATGTAAGCACTACACACAAATAAAAAACCAGAGATCCCCCAAAAAACCCCAAATAAAAATGGTATCACAAAGACATAGGGAAGAGACAGTTTGAAGTGGAAGTGGTGAGCATTCTTGTGTTGAAAGGCTGTGAATAAAAGCTCACAGTGTCCCTGGCTCCCTGTGCACTTGACGGGTAGGAAGGCACTGACTGATTCTGGTTTCACCTTAGTGCAGGGCTGAGAAACTGCCTAACATATCTGAGGCCCTGGGTAAGGTTCCCAGCACAGTGAAAACCCGAAGTTCCTACTACGAGTGGCAGACTTCCTAACCCAGGTAGATTAAAGCTAGACATATACCAGTGAGCATGGCGGCGAGAGTGAGCATTTCATCCACACAGTTAAACTCGCAGGAGGCTAGCAGGGCTTTGGCCAGCTCAGGGGGTAGGGGAAACTCCGAAAGAATGATCCCCAGATCGGACAGGTCCCCGTCGTCATCCAGCGCTGCCAGATAGTCTAAGTCTTCCAGGGCCTGCATCAGTGCTTCTGGTGCTGGTGGGGACACAGGACTTGGACATCAGCCTGAGCCTGCAGTCAGAGGCAGCCCCGGGGCAGGATGGGGGCTCACCAGGCCGGTCCAGGAAGTGGCATTCCCCTGGCTCTGCAATCTGCTTCCTCTTTAGTAGCAACACCAGGGAGCTCAGATTCTCTTCCAACACTTTGGGGTGGGGCAGTGGGGGTGCCTCTAGTTCTAGGGTGGACTTAGAGTACAGGCGGAGGCAGGATCCTGAGGGGAGAAAGGCCTAGGGAAGTCATCTCTCACGGCTTGTGTGAGCTGATTTATTTTTCCTGTTTGGTCTGAGGCAAAGGCTCTTACCTGGTGGGAAGCCCCTTGCCCGCAATCTTCTTGCCTCTGCCTGACACTTGCTAATTGGCCTCAACACCTGGGATTCTGCCCGGATCCGAGGACTGTAAACCTGTCATCCAGCCCCCCCAACAAGGCCAAGACAGATCAGAGTGGTCCATTTCCATCTCAAGCTCCATCCCCCTCATTTCTCTCACTCACACTGCGAAGTTCCAGTCCTGAGTCAATGACATGTTGGATGGAAGGCAGAGAGAAGGAGAAATCTGCCAGCCAATGAGTGACCACGATCTTCCGGACCCTCTTGTCTGTGTCCTCATACACAGCTTGGATGGCTTGACCACAGCCTGGGTGAAGGGGCAGTACCTGTGGTGGAGGCCCTGGGACAGCCAACTTCCCCAACTCCCTGGACAAGGATTCACAGCACAGGGAAATTTCCTAAGGAGAGGGGTGGGGCATTAGGGCAGTTCTTACCTTTTTTAGGGGGAGCACAGATCTTTGAGAAACTGATGATAGCTAAGGCCCTTCACTCATAGAAAACACACACTTCTAAAGGTGGGCACATAGTTTCAGTTCACTGTGCACAAAGCTCTGCATTATAAAGATTTTAGAGCTGGGTGCCATTTCTTTATTCTGAAGTCCTTGATCCTCCCACCAAGACTCCAGCAGAGAGTAAACACAACCACTATTCCTAACATGTGCTGCCCCATTCCTGGGACAGGAAAGCAGCAAAGGAAGGTGTCCCATAATCCTCTTTTTCATTTTGTTTACCTCCTCACCGGGCAGGTACACCAGCACATCTCCTGGCGCCTCTTCCCCCTGACACAGCTCAAGCACAGCTTGGCAGGCAGCTTCCACTAGGTCAGTAGGGACAGTGTCCCTGTAGATAAGAGTGGGATTTCCACCAGGCTCTCTGGGCACACGCACAATGGGGGAATCGGCCCAGAAAGCTTGGAGTTTGGGTTCAAGGGCTGGGTCAGTAACCACAACCACTCTGGGATCCCCTGGAAGGTTTCTCAGTTTGGTGTCTCGAAGGAGCCCCTGCAGTAAATCTGAGGCCACTGACCGCTCCTGAGCCTCATCCAGAATCAGCACACTCCAGGCTCCTGGGCCCCGGGTGGAGGCTACTTCCTGCAAAAGCAGCCTGTCCCAGCAGAACCTGTTGACATTGATAGTGGGCAGGAAGTCAGTGTGAACACCGACCAGACCCAAATCCAGGTGCCTAGATTTTGATATTGAAGATCAGAAAAAGATGTCATGGACTTCCTAAGCCTGTGGACCACTAAGTGTGACCCACATCTTTGCTGAGGACAGTTGGTTCACACCTGTACCTTGGGTGACTGAGGTTTGGATTGTGTGTGATTCAAGGGCAGGTTAAACTGAGGGTGTGGGGAGGAGCCAGACAAGTGGACCTGTTCGCACTAATGAAGGGAATGAGACTGCAAATGGCCCACCTGAGCATGGTGTTGGGCCCAGTGCAGTCTTCCTGAGGGATGCTGTATCCAATCTCATGGCCCAGGGTCAGGTCCATCTCATCAGCCACCCTTGAAGCCAGGCTCATGGCTGCTAGTGGGTAGGGCTGAGTGACAGTAACCTGGCCTGTCTGGAATCCCCTGGCCAGTGCAAACTCTGCACACCATTGAGGAATCTGGGGTGGGGAGAGGGAAGACCACTGGTCAGGGGATTGGAGGGCTTGAGACAGAAGTGCTGCAGGAACTATGGCCAAATGAATTGAGATTCCTGAACCTTTACCACCCCCTGGGGTCAGTCAAACCCATCTTTATTTGGTCAGCTCTCCCACATCACCATTCTTTACCCAGGAAAGGCGCATTTAGCCCTGCCCTTTGTCCATTCCCACACTCTTCCTCCACCTGGGTGCTCTTGCCAGAGCCGGGCTCCCCAGATACCAGCACCACTCCAGTGGGGCTACTCTCCAAATGCTCCAAGAACAGGAAGCGAGCAGCCCAGATGGGCAAGGCTCTGCGCTGCTCAAGCAGCTCATAGTAGCAGGAAGAGAAGGGGAGCCCATCAAAGGGGTTCACAGCCAGCTCAGACTCTTCTGCCAGCCCAGAGGCCATGGTGGCTGTCCATAGAACCTACGGAAAGCAGGGCAGCCAGTAAGGCCTTAGATCTGGTGACTGATACCAAATTTCCCTCTCCGCTTGATCCCCAACCTCAACCCGCAGAGGATAATGCCTCGGGGTCCATCCTTCCCTGAGGTACTTGCTTTCCGGGAAACAGTGCTGGGTGTTTCTAAGGGGCCACCACAAGTGGACTTTTACCCTGTTTGAAGTTGGGTAGTGACTAGTACAGGGGCGGCAGGAGTTACATGAAGCATAGTAATCTGTGGGAAGGACCCGAGGGAGGGAAAAAAGTAAGAAATTTGGGAAAGAGAGATTAAGACAACAGGGCCATAAGGATCCTGGATTCAAACCTGCCAGCAGCTCTGAGAGACGCGTCAGGATAGCAGTCAGATCTGGACACACCCAGCCAGGCACCACCAACCCAGACCTACCTGGAGTACAAAGGTAAATTCCCGGCCCCACCCTGAGGCTGAGCTCCAATTCCAATCACAGAGCTTGCTTTTGGGGGTGGAGCCTTTTGCTCCACCTAAGTTAATTTAGCTAGGAACCCAAGGAAAGCTTGGTTCTTGCCACCACACTGAGCATGACAGGACTGTGCTCATGAAATGCATTCTGGGACTTGTAGTTTTACAGTGACAGTCTCCCAACATAGCCAAACTGGCTGGGATCCAGTTGTCTTCAGTTTAGTACGAGATAATTTCAGTTTCATTCTGACCATCCTCACCCATATACTCTTCAACTGGGAAAAGGAACCTGCTCAGGGGGCTTTTGAAACCCAGAGAGGCAACAGAGACCTTGAGTGAAAACCCTGAATTTAATGTGACATTGGGGGAGCTCCATCCCTCCCTTTTTACCACCCACTCATCTGGCCTGGGTGAGGGCTGCCCCCAGTCTCCGTCCCGCGGCTCTGGGTACCATCCTGTTCCTTTGGCTCAGTCAGCCTCCTGGGCCTGTCTCTCTCTGAATCTCCTGCGGGACATGGGGAGAGACAGTGCGTGGGCGTCGTCATGTTAGTGCCATCAGGCCCTTGTCCAGCTTGTTCCTTCCTGCACACAGTCCTCTAACCCTCACCTTCTTGCGTATTCATACAGGGCCTGCTTGCGCTCCTGCAGGCTCTCCTGACGGGCCCAGGAAGACTTGGCAAATGTTAGGGCTGTGGGCTGAGGGGTCACCAGGCCAGAGCTGGGGAACTGAGGTGATCACAATGTCAGAGGGCTTGCGAAGTCATCATCATTAAACACCCATCGAATGCCTACTTTGCAAGAGAGGTACTGTGCTAGGGTCTCAGCATCAAAGAGAGTCAGCGACAGGGAGCAAAGAGACTGCCCCAACCTAACCCTAAGTCTTGGCCTTGACTACTCCTGGGTCTCACCTTTGGGGCAGAGGCTGAGGGCAGGGACTGAGCTCCTTCAGGGACATCTTCAGGCATGAAAGCCACAGCCCCCTCAAGCAGATTCGTGATGGTCAAGTCTACACACCCAGTCCTGGCTGGGAAGAGAGGAGGACAGTGTCCATTTCCTGTACACCCTCTCTGTCACAACCCACTTTTTCTGTGCCTTGTCATTCTGTGAAGCTACCCTCTCCCATACCCAGGTCTCTCTGGATGACATTCAGTGGCACATGGGGCAAAACTTCCTTGACTCTTTGGGCCAGAGTTGTCAGCTGCACGTCAGAGGAAGGGCTGGGAGAAGAGGGGAAAGAAGACCGCGCTGTTAAAAGAAAAGTATCAGGTGAGCGGAGAACTGAGAAAGGTTGACAAGCATAAGTAAGTAAAATCACCACCCGAAGCACGCTTCGATGAGCGCAGAGACCACACACCTGACTGGGGGCGTACTCTGGGGTGTCTCTGCCGCTTCATGTGTTCTGCTTTGTCTGACGGAGTGAGCCGTGTCCCTATCTGACCCAATTCCTTGGCCACCAGCTGGGGAGAATTGGAAGGTGGTAACTATAGCCACTTGAGTCTTCTTCCCTGGCCCTGAAGAGGGACCCCACCTCCACCACGCCTGCGCGCTCACTACCACCTGCTGTACACGGAGGGCAAACTCCTCATTCTCCTCCCCCAGCTGCCGATGAACCGGATGAAGCCACCTGCGGAGAGGAAGCAGTGCCCTGCTAAGGCGCCGGGGTCAAGGGTGTCATCCTTTCCCCATTTATTTTGGGACAGCGGTGATGCGAGGGGGGAGGTGGTAGACACGTGTTGCCTCTGTGGTGGAACTCTGGCATTAGCAAATCCACAGACAGACAGGGCAGAGGCCACTACTTCCTTGACCTTGAAGTGAGCATCTTCCCAGCCACCAAAACTGAGGACAGTTAGTACCTTACTTGATACACCGTGAAAGGGACGAAAAGTGACCACAGCAGTTCTGAGATCCAGGAGGCATCTGACACCGTCTGAGAGGAGGGCATGGAGAGAGACCTCAGCAAGGCCAGAGGTGGGAAGCTTCCCCTCCAAACCCCAGAGACTCCCTGCCAGCACGCACTCACCACAGAGACCAGGGGTCTTTGGACTTGTAGTGTAAGAGGTTGTACCACATCCTGGATAGAAAATGGCCACGAACTAAGAGACAGAGAGAGAGGGAGTAGGATCGGACGTAGTCCCGAGTAGCCCAGCCAACAACTCAAACGTGACTTAAACAAGGAAACTGTCCAACTCCATAAGCAGATAATCAAGGAACTAAGAATTTAGGGGATGGAACTGAAAGTGGACAGACAGGACATGACTACAGCAGGTTCTCCCAGAGCTGGACAACCCACTAAACTGGAGCCCAGAGATCTGCGCTTAACCCACCTGAAACGCAGGAGCCCCTCTCGGCCATTGGTAGCCTCTTCCTCAGGGAAGAGCAGCAAAGGCGTGGGTGGAAGCCTTGTGGAAGCGCAGAATTTCTTGAGTGACTCCACCAACTCCACCCGCCTATCCATCTCCATGAAGCCCCGAGACCAGCACACAAAGCTGGGGGGACTATTGAGAAGAGGCTGGGAGCAGGGAGGAGAAAAAGCAAGAAGAAAAGAAGAAAAAGGTAACACGTGGGATGGTGTTTATGGGGTGAGGGAAAAGATCGGTGTCCCCCAAGAGAACCCTAAGGTGAGCACTGAGCTCGGGCCCCGGGAGCCACCCGGTGGCGCTCTGGGCCTCGCCCCCACTCACGGTGCTACAGGTGGTGAGCAGGTTGACTATGTTGTGGTCAAAAGGTGTGACATGGTTGGAAATAAGGACCCTGACGCGGTGATCCCGGAGTCCGGAGTCCTCCTGCCGGGCCACGAGCCCCAACACTGCACACATGGTCCGTACCACGAACCTGGGGACACAGGCGGCAGTGACTGTGCGGTCTTGAACCAGGCCCAGCCCCGATGCTCCCCCCGGGCACCGCAGTCCGCACCTGCGGAGGACGCTGTCAGGCAGGGCACAGCTGACCAGGAAGACGTGGAGCCCTAGGAAGAGGCGCAGAACCAGGAGACAGAGGCCGACCGGAGCGTAGAGCAGCAGCGCGAGCAGCAGGAAGCCGTCACTGGGGAGCCTGCGGCGAGAGGCGACGCGATCAGGCGCCGAAGCCGAGGGAACGCGCTGACCGGTCTCTTCCCTCCGCAGCGCTTACCGGTGCGAGTCAAAGAGCCGCTCCGGCCCCGGAGCTGGGGGAGGTTCCATCGCGGCCGTCTCAGGAAAGCAGGGCCGATGTCGCCGCCATCTTCGCAGGGCCGCGGGGGCTCCTGGGAAGGCGGAGTCTTTGGGCATTCGCGGGATGCCAGAACCCGAGGTCCGGAGGCGCCCCGGAAGGGCTAGCGCTCCCAGCATGCCTTGCGGCCCCGGGGCGGGGGGAAGTAGGAGTTCGGACGCGTGTAAGTGTACGCCCGAGAGAGCGTGTCCTAAAGGAACTACAACTCCCGGCATGCACCGGACAGAGACCGGCGTGCCTCGCTTCTCCCAGTCCGCTTGCTGAGCTTTAGGGCACCGCCTCTGAGTAGGGTGGGCAAGGAGAGAGCCGAGGCGGAGCTGATGGCTGCGCTGAAGGCGGGGCGGGGTGCAGGCTGGAGCCTTCGGGCATGGCGGGCTTTGGGGGGCATCTTCTGGGGCAAGGGCCCCCTGCTAACCCCTGACCTCCGGGGTCTGCTGACTTCAGGAAGTCCTGACCCTCAGGCCCGGATGGTGTATGGGACCCCCAGTCTCCCGGCCCGGGTGCCTGTGGGGGTCCTTGCATCACGGGCATGTCTGACATCTGGGACCCCAGATCTCCGGGCACAGCTGACTGTGGGGACTCCAGGCTCCAGTGCCCAGGAGGCCTGCAGGAGCTCTGGCACCCGTCGGCGCGAATGGCTGGCGGTGGCGGTGGGCGCAGGGGGAGCAATGCTGCTGCTCTTGTGGGGCTGGGGGCGGGGTCCTCCCACGGTGCTGGCCGCTGTTCCCGCTCCGCCACCCAGCTCTCCCCGGAGCCAGTACAATTTCATCGCAGATGTGGTGGAGAAGACAGCCCCTGCTGTGGTCTATATCGAAATCCTGGATCGGTAATGGAGAAGTTGACCGGGAGGTGTTGAAACCAACTGCCCTGAGGCAAGTGAGCAGGCTGGGGTGGAAGCAGAAGTGTAATCGGTGCTTCCCCCCATCCCAGGCACCCTTTCTCAGGCCGCGAAGTCCCCATCTCAAACGGTTCAGGATTCGTAGTGGCTTCGGATGGGCTCATCGTTACCAACGCCCACGTGGTGGCTGACCGGCGCCGAGTGCGAGTGCGGCTGCTCAGTGGAGACACTTACGAGGCCATGGTCACAGCTGTGGACCCTGTAGCAGACATTGCCACGCTGAGGATTCAAACCAAGGTGGGAGTCGAGTAGGCCCGACTGACGGCAGCTCTTTCCGTGCTCCCGTCCCACAATGACCAGTTTTGGCGTTCTCATCTCCCTTCAGGAGCCTCTTCCCACACTGCCCCTGGGCCGCTCTGCTGATGTCCGGCAAGGGGAGTTTGTTGTTGCCATGGGAAGTCCCTTTGCACTGCAGAACACGATCACATCTGGCATTGTCAGCTCTGCTCAGCGTCCGGCCAGGGACCTGGGACTCCCTCAAAACAACGTGGAATACATTCAGACCGATGCAGCTATTGATGTGCGTCCTGACAGGAGAGAAATTGGGAGCTGGGTGGGAGCTGCGGAGCATGGCTGTCTGGTGTGTGAACCAACTGACAAACAGTGCTGCGCCTATATTAGACGTTGGACTGCAAAATGCAGCCACTCTGGTTTCTGGGCTGGGAACAGAATTTGAAGACTTTCCCTACACCCTGGTTATGCCTGCAGGGAGAGAATTCCCAGAGGCTTAGAATTCCAGATCTCTTTGATGTTTTCTTTTCTTCTTTTCCCACAGTTTGGAAATTCTGGAGGTCCCCTAGTTAACCTGGTGAGTGCCATGTTCTTCTAGGAATCCATACCCCAGGTCAGTGTGGGAAGGGTGGGTGTTTCTAACATTCAAGGGTTTTTAGTTAAGTTTCTGTAGTTTCTTGTTCATCTCCTCGTATCCAATCAGACCCCTGCCCCCAAATCTTTGCTACTCTGCTATCTGTGTGGGCTAGGGGACAGAGGGCTGTGTCCCTGCAGGATGGGGAGGTGATTGGAGTGAACACCATGAAGGTGACAGCTGGAATCTCCTTTGCCATCCCTTCTGATCGCC